AATAATCCATGTAGTGTGTTTTTATGTTGATGTGGTAAAGGACAAAATTGTTTTTTTTTATTTAACAGCCTTGTTAAGTGTAACACCCGTTTTCCAGAATGGATCAGATGAGGGCTTAAAAGGTTCAGTGGTAAGATTTTTAGGAAAAATCTAGTTCCACGACATGGTGAATGGAGCACCACGACGTGGCATGTCTAATGCAGGAATGCGCGTTTGGATGTTCAGCACGACGTGACAAGCGGAAGGCCACGACGTGGCAACTGATGCAGCCCAAACCCATCATTTTTAGGGTTTTCTCCATATTTAAGCACCTAATCTCAAGGATTAGGGAATCATCTTCAGCCTCCAACCCCTCATCAGTAAAACCCTAGCCTCCATGAAGATTAGAAAGCTTGTTCTCATGATTTGAAGCTTATTCCTTGGATTTGGTGAAGCTTGAGAAGAAGAAAGTTCACAAGGAAGCAAAGAAGCAGGGAGCTGATTTGGATCCATAATTCTCTTCAGTTTTCTAAGTTACTTGGGGTATAAAGTGTTAGATTAGGTGTCTAAGCCCATAACTATAACTGGTATGTACTTAAATTTATAGTAGCACGGTCCTTTTGGGTTGCCTTCACACTAACAACTATACAGGATGACTTTTCGAGAAAGAGGTTGAATTTATTATTTGAATAATAAATTGAGATGATTGATTTATTAATGTATTATCGAACTATAATATTAATTAGAAATCATATTATTTAATTAGTATTTAATCAGAAATTAATTTGGAATTAATTTTGGGATTAAAAGAATTAACTAAAAGTGCAGGGGCTATTTAGGTATTTATTGATAGTTGTGGATTTGGGCTTTAGAACCCTCCTAGATGGGTTGGACGAAATCTTCTAGGAATGCCCTAGAAATTTCGTCCAAGGGCCTCTTAGATGGAGTTCTTGGGCTGCTTAGGCCTTAAGCTGAGGAATTAGGGTTTCCTCCCTTAAACCCTAGCTTTGGCTCTAAGCAACCACAACTATATAAGGGAGCTACCCCCTCTTGATTTCGGCCAAGACTCCAACCCTAAGAAGGATAGCCAAAATTTGAAGCTTCTTTCTCCTCTCTCATATCATTCTTTTGCTAAGTGTGTTTGTGAGCCATTAGAGGTGTTACACTTGTGACACTACCTCTCAAGCTTCTACAACAACAAGGAATTGTTTGTTATTACTATATAACATTCAAAGGTTAGTTTACTATCCCTTGTTATGAATTTCAAAATTACTAGATGCCTCCTAGGGTTTCTCCTTTTGTGTTTAATACTTGTATGTTCAATTAGAGAAAACATAGATCCAACAATTAGGGTTGAATGCACACATAGAGATTGTTTGTTTTGCTCAAAACCCATCATAAAGTTCTCACCTTGACCCCTATTCTTCTAGATTTAAGTTTAAGGTCATTTTTGGGTGGTTTTGGTTCTTTTCATGAATGTTCTTGTAGTTTGAGGAACTCCAGAGCTTACTATGGCTCAGTAATGGGCCAATGGCCCATCGGTTCTGTTAAGTGAAAAAAAGGCCTTAAATTGGATGATTCTTGGTCCCATGCATAAGATTTGGCCCCCATTAAGGACTTAATGGACTTAGGGTTGTAGATCTAGCCTTAGAATGGAGCCCTAATGGATAAAGTTGGAAACTTTATCCATTAAGTCATTGAAAAGAAGTAGATTTGAAGTTTTGGGCTTAGATCTGTAAGGATTAAGCACTTAATGAAGAATATGGCAATCTGCCAGTTCCCATGACGTGGCAATGAGCTTGTCACATGTGGTGGTTCTCTGCTTCGTGACTATCTTGTCTTGGTATTCCCATGACGTGGCCAAGAGGTCCCTACGCCGTGTTGACTTGGTTGACCATTGACTTTTGACCAGTTTGACTTTGGGTCAAACTTGAAGGACTTGGGTTCTTGATTAGGGATTTATCTGTATTTGGTGTTGGTTGGTTCGCGGAGGTGGTCGGTGCAGGGAGTGAGGGCGTTGTTGTGTTTCCGGGTCTGCATTTCAGGTGAGTTTCCTCACTATACTATGTATTGTTGTGTATATCCTTGTGTGTCAGGATATAGTAGTAGTGATATGCTGGTTAGAGTACCAGTAGGTGGGTAATCTTCTAGTGGAGTGCCCTAGGGGTTGTATGTAGTCACGTCGGTTAGCCTATGAACTATTGATCTAGGCTTTCTTGACTATTCCTTGTTTGGTTACATATAACTATGCATTCCTTTTGAGATCTGTCAGTAGTGGCATAGTGTATATGGGGATAAAGAATATACATTACAACCCCTCCTAAGCTTAGGTACTAAGCCTCTAAATTGTTCCATTTTAACTTAGTAAATATACTCAGATCAGTTTTCACTTGATAAATATACCATCCCCCATAGCATTTCTTTCCTCCATTATCTTTTAACCATCCCCATTTTCTTTCCTCCATTATCGTTTATTACTTCACTCTTTATGCAATAATGAATAATTAGAAGAAAATCTTTTGAAAAAAAAATTGTTTCATAAAATCACATAGTGTTTTAGGAAGAATACGATTTGTTAGGAAATCACGTAGTATTTTTGTCCAATAAAATCCTTAGCTACGACGTGGTTTCATGAGGTTTGGTACCTAAGCTTAGGTGAGGCTGTAATGTATATTCACTTTTCCCTACTGTATGATGTTTGGTATGTGATAGTGAGCTGTTAGACAGGTAGACTAGTATAGATAGTTGTTTGTGTTTATGTGTTTACTTGATTTCTTATCTGTTACATATGCTGACATATTGGGTGGTGGGTTGAGGTTGTCCTGCTTTGTGTTGTAGGTCAAGATATTTGGGCGGGCCAGCGATGTGCTGTAGGCCAGGTGTGGATCAGTTGTATGTTGAGAGAGAGAGCGGTCTAGGTGTACTGTAGGCCTTGCGAGGCGGTCCAGTCAGACTATAGGATCAAAAGAGCGGTCCAGGCGTGTTGTAGGCCTTGTGAGGCGTTCCAGAATGACTGAAGGCTCATGTATGCATGCATTGTATGTATATTGTGGTGTGTGGTATTTTGAGGGAACTCACTAAGCTTTGGCTTACAGTTGTAAATTAAATGTTTTTCAGGTACCACTGGTGATCGTGGGAAGACGAAGACGTGATTATACACAATCTTCAATAGCCATGGAGATTCCGCATTATTTATATTACTATATTTTCAAACAACTGTAATTTGGAACAAATGGGTTTTCATAACTTGGGTTTATGTAAATGGTGATTTTACCTTATTTAAAAATGAAAATTTTGCTTGTGAAAAATGAGACATTACATTAAGAGAGACCCTTTTTTCCCCAAAATAAAAAATTTTGATCAACATTTATTTTAACACTTAATACTAACATTTTTATTTTTCTTCTAAATTATATCTTTCGTTTCTTGAATTCTTAATCTATAGTGGATGGATATTTTTTGCAAACATCTGATACCATTAGAATAGAAGTATTTTGATATAACTTTTGGTATTTCAAGATATAATATTCAAAAAAAAAATTACGTGTTTATTTGTTTGAATATATTTGATTTTGTCCATTTTAAAAAAGAAAATAACAGCCTTATTAGACTGGAAGAATGGCTCGGCAATCTCCTCAGCAAGTGCTCGTCGTCCATGATATACACTAGGGGTGAGTATTTGGACGTGTGGACCGGACCGAACCAGACCCTTTTTTTGGACCCCCAGACCGGTTCTTGGTTCTAGGATTTGAGAAAAACCAGTCCGGTTTTTTTATCGGTCCGGTCCGGCCGGTTCCGGGTAATAACCAGTTTTGGACCGACTTATTTTTAAAAGAAAATGTATTATATGAAATTCTTTAAACAATCATATCTCATTCATTTTAAGTCGGATTGACATGCGGTTTTCTCCAACGTGTAATTTAGAGTTTGTAGATGATTTTAGACTATAATTTTGTTGTTGATGTTATATTCTATCAGTTACAATCCTTCAAAGATGAGATATAAAAGCTGAAATATTTCAGATTTTCAGTAAGAAATTTAATCTTTTGTATTTTGTGAAATTCTTTAAACAAGCATATCTTATTTGTTTTAAGGCGAATTGACATTTGGTTTTTTCCAACGTATAATTTAGAGTTTGTAGATGAGTTTAGACTATAATTTTGTTGTTTTGATGTTATATTCAATGAGTTACAATGCTTCAAACAAATGATATATAGTATAAATAATCAAAGTTTGACCGGTCCAAATGACACAAGAAATGAAAACATATTCATTTTTACGAGTTGTACCGTATCAAACCTAGCAACATATCCGTTTTAACAAGTTGTATTAAACCCAAAATCGTGTTTTAACAAGTTGTACCGTATGTATGTAAAGTTGTACCGGTCCAAACAGGTCCAAGAACCAGAAAACCTGGACATGGACCTAGACCCGGTCCGATTCGCGGTCCACAATGTTCTCCGAAACTGGTCTGGTCCAAGAGCTGGTTCGATCCGGTCCGATCCAAATGCTCACCCCTAATATACACCGTCCCCGACGGGTGGAATGCTGAGGAGAGATAGAGGGTAAAGTTATTTCTATTTTTTCTGAGTTATATCGTATCAAACCTAAAAAATATTCATTTTAACGAGTTGTAACGTATCAACCCAAACAACATATTCGTTTTAACAAGTGTATTAAACCCAAAATCGCGTTTTAACAAGTTGTACTGTATGCATGTAAAGTTGTGTCGGTCCAAACAGGTCCAAGAACCGGAAAACCCGGACCTGGACCCGATAAGTCTCATCCGGTCCGGTTCACGGTCCACAATATTCTCCGAAACCGGTCTGGTCTAAGAGTCGGTTCGGTCCGGTCCAATCCAAATGCTCACCCCTAATATACACCGTCCCCAATGTGTGGAATGGAATGCCGAGGAGAGATAGAGGGTAAAGCTATTTCTATTTTTTTTTTTTCTAAAATTTTACCAATTTGATCGCCCTTAATATAAAATGGTAAGCCATGCTGTGTGCCATGGAAAGGATGTCAAAATACATCCCATGTACCGACAAACCTCTCTCTCTCTCTCTCTTTCTCTCTCACAGTCTCGCTTTGTTGTTTTCGTACTTCTGCAAAATCTCTCTGCTTTATCTGTCTATATCGATACGTTGGTACACGTATATATGCACACACATACAAGTTTTGTCCGTAAAATCCAAACCCTAGATAACGATCTTTGAATGTTCGGATCCAAATCGACGATCAGCATTACTACTAGACGGTTTGATTGAAGTTAATAGAAGAGAGATTTGGGCCTTTTTTCTTCTTCGGGATCGATTTCAGAGAAAGAAATGTATAAGAACCAGCTTCAAGAGCTGGCTCAGAGGAGCTGCTTTAACTTGCCGTCGTATACGTGTATCAGAGAAGGTCCAGATCACGAGCCTCGTTTCAAGGCCACTGTTAACTTCAACGGCGATACATATGAGTGCCGGAACTACTGCACGACGCTGAGACAGGCGGAGCATTCCGCCGCTGAGGTGGCTCTCAATTCGCTTGCTACCCATGGCCCCTCTAATTCTTTAGCTGCTAAAATACTGGTGAGTAGATTTTCCATTTTCCATCGTTTTCCAATTCCACCGTTTGATCTTCATACTTCACTTATAAATCACATATGATTATACATTTATACTCCAATTTCCATGGCATACAGGATGAAACAGGGGTGTACAAGAACCTTTTGCAAGAGGTGTCTCAAAGGGTAGGATCGTCATTGCCAACATACACAACCACTAGATCGGGACTTGGGCATTTCCCTGTGTTCACCTGCACTGTAGATTTGGCTGGTTGCATATTTACAGGTGAAGCAGCTAAGAACAAGAAGCAAGCTGAAAAAAACGCAGCCATGTCTGCTTGGTTATCTCTAAAACTCTGTAAGTCTACATGATCTTTGTAGTTTGTATTAATGTGATTGTTATTCTTTGATAATTGATAATTGATATCATCATCTTCTCTGTTGTTTAGTGGCCCAACAATCAGAAACTTTTTCATTACAAAAGGGTAACATTGAGATTGAGGAGCAAGAACATGTCACAGTAGCTCGTGCTTTACAGAAGTTTAGGTTAAAGGCAAAAATGACTAATATACCCTTTCCAATCAGGTTTCCAACACCAAAACCAAAACTAGCTACTACACAATCACCTCAATCGTCTACAACAACTTCAAAAATCCTTCCTTTAATATGCCCTAAAACTACCACAACCCGGCCCCACAAGTTCCCTGCAGCTGAAGCACCACCATATGTTCCTGTGGGCCACTTCATGGCTCATTGTAGGATCGCGCCACCTGTCACTATACGTAACACGATTCCTGTTTTCTCTGCTCTGCCGCCACGAATGGGTGTTGCACCACCGCCACCGCCGCCTAATCAGCTTTTTCCGGTGACTATCCGGCGAACTGTCATTGAAGATGTTGTGAAGCCATTAAAGGAAGAGGAGAGAAGTTGAATGATGTGCAAAATTTGAAACAAATTTGTATGTTTTGTGATAGAGTAATTAGGTGTGTAGGTAGCATTTGCAAATGAAATTAGAGATGCTTTTTAACTTTTATTTTGATTAATTAATTAACTTTATCCAAAAACAATCTTTGAATTAAAAGCCAAAACCGTCATGATTTTCTCATTACATTGAAATGATTTAAAACGAGTTATGGAATTAGTCTCCAAGCTTTTTGCATAATTTCATCATTCACAAAAGGGCGTAACGACCACATCAAACAATATGTCTCTAGTTCTCCTGATGATGTCTTTAGATTAAGCGTAGAAACAATCTTTTCCTGTAAACAAAACAACATTCTAATGTTTGTTACAATCATGTAAAAAAATAGCAATGTACTTTAATTTATTTGTTCATTAAATATTGAAAGTAAAAATGTAGTAATAAACAAGTCAATAATTACCTGCATAAGGTAATCCTTTTTCACCATGCTATATACCAAAGCTACAATGATTGCATAATCAATAACCTTAGATTTCTCAGGGATAAATGACACTATTTGCTCCTGAAAATTAATAAATTCCTATAAATTTGTATAGGGCAATTCTTTATAAAGATTAATCCACTTAAAAAATGGCATGAACTAACCTCATTTAATATATCATCCAAATCAGGAGTAAGATCTTGTGGTAAGGTTTCATTTGCAGATTCTATTACCAGATTTAAGTCCTCAACAAGGGATTCAAGTTCTTTGATAATACTATTTCCTGTGGAAAAAAATTAATTCCATTTATAAAGAGACTAGAAAAAAAATAGCAGTGGTTTTTTAGGTATTATGAATGTTATACCTTTATTTGCAATATCCAACAATTGGATATGGTTTTTATGCACTTTTGTATGCATATCGCAAACAACAAAAATGGTCATTGAAACATAATTCAGTAAATTTCAAAATCATTATAATCTTTAAAAAATGACTTACACTTGTTGAGATTTTCAGCTCTATCAGAAGTGTGTGTACATCCAGCTTTAATGTAAGATTGCATTCTATCAGTATTGTTAGCTTTAATGACATTTTCAAAGAGTTGTGATGTGTTGTCAATGGAGGGTCTTCGAATGAAATCTGCATAAAATTTTGTAATTTTAGAACAGAGAAACTTGAATTTTTTTTTTTTTTTTACTATCTTTAAGAAATTTTTTTTTTGAAGAAATTCACCGAGTGCTTGACGGAAGATATCAAGAAATCTATTCCCTGCAGCTACTTGCTCCTCATATTTGGCAACCCTACCATGAAGTGATGAAACAAACGTGTTAAGAATATTCTTTTGTTATGAACGAAATCACTATGCTAACCTTTCCATGAAATGTGAAAAAATCTGGACAACTTTCTCTTGTATATTGGTTTCTTCTGTTGTTTCCATTCTGCAAAACTAATTGGAAGGTCGAGTGTGAGATTGAGAACACCAAACAATACAAGGGTTGGGAAGTTTCAAAAACAGGCATTTTACTCTGTTAAAAATGGTCTAAAAGGATTCTTCGCATCTTAGAAAACTCCAATTAGGGCCCTAAAGCTCTGGTCATTAGAACACATCCAAATTGGACAATATATTGATCAAAATATTATAAAATCAAAGCGTTCTCCTACCTACAGATTTCAGTGATTTGTTCAACAGGAAAAGCAAACAGCAAACATACACACTTGGGCTCACAGAAGTGTAAAGACTAAAATGTAAAAGAACTCAGAAGTGTAAAGACTTGAGCAATTCAAAAGAATTACCGGTAGGTCAAGAACTCAGAAGATCGATAGCCTCCAATCTGATTCAACCCGACAGCATCCGGCCCTCCACCTTCCAACCTCCAATGTCGATTCAGCCGACAGGCTCCAAGCTTCCAAGGCTTCAAGACGCTAGGCGATGTCGATATTGATTACTCGATTAGGTCGAGAAAACGAGAACGCAATTGACGAGTGTCGAGCAGCAGAAGAATAGCTGCGCAGGTTTTCTTTTCTATTAGTAATGGAATTGGCGAACCGGCGAATTGCTCAATTGAAATTGAGTATTTTCAATTTTCTTCTAAAAATAATATATATACGATAAATTATAAATATAAAAAATATTTACAATATAATAAAATTAAAATATTATAAAATATATACATTTGGTGGGTTTTCCGGTTTTGTTGGTCTGATTAAACCCATCGGTCGGTTCGGTTTGTGTTAGTTGGCATAAATACTAAAATTGACATAACATAACCAATTTTTTTTGATTGAAAAATACTAATGCAACGTGTTATTGCTTTGGGTTCGGTTTTTCAATTTCAAATCGGTTTTTAAATTTCCAGTTTTTGCACACCCCTAGTCATAAACGGAAAGTATACATGGTTTCTTTTGGCTTGGATCAGAGCTATAAACGATTAGAGGTTTTCATCATGTGTTGGAACCGATCCATACCAAACCAATTTTTTTAACCGGCTTTGAACAAGTTTAGGTGATCTGGTTTTTTATTTTAATGTTATGGTCATGTTAGTTAAAGCTTTTATTTGTGTATGAGTGCTATGTAAAAATAATTGGAAGTTTTTAGAATATGTATAAAAAAACATATACATAGAAGCTGAAAATGAAACGTGGTTATGGAAATTTGATTGTATAAACTATACTTTTCATAATTGAGAAAAAATTTATAGTTATGTTCCATTACAAAATTCAAAAGTCATATGATAATATAAAAAGTCAGGTAGTAAAATTATCAACATCGAACATCACATATTGAAATAGTAACTTCACTATGAACACACTTTAATGTAATAAATAATCGCGTATATGAAGAATAAGTTGTTTAATGACTTTAAAATTTAAATTAAACTTTATTTTTGTATGTGATATTGGAATAATCTTTATTGTCACAAAATATGCTATTGTCTTCCTAATGACTTGAAGTTGAGTTTTAATTAAACCATATACATTAATTTTGAAAATTTGTCTAATAATAATAACAATAACAACAACAACAGTAGTAACAATAATAATAATAATAATAATAATAATAATAATAATAATAATAAAAAAGCAAATAAAAATAATCAATGGGTACTATAAGTAATAAGGGTTGTATTTAGTAAATAAAAAAAAAGAATTATAAAGCAACTAGTACTTTGTTGACCTCAATAGAGATGCAACTAGTAATCATTTGTATCTATCAAATGGTTTCTAGTCCAACAGTATCCGATGTTGTCCTTTTTTTTTGAAGTTGGGGGTTCAAATTCCGTTATGGACATAAATGAAATTTAGGAATAGAGTAGAAAAAAAAAGTAATATGTACTAAAATAGTGGAAGTCTTTATATATTAAAGAAAAAGTTTCCTATATGTGTTGAAATTATGGAAAAAAAAATAGCAGTAATATGATGATTTTTCGTTAATTAATTTTTAGTAGGTTGTTTTTTTATGATATTTCCTATTTCAAATGTAGATATGGGGGGACACAAAATAGCATTGACAAAAAAGACATCGAATATGCATTATAATTAGGAAAATCTTTATAAAAAATCCATATAGTTAGGACTTATTAACCATAAAGCCAAATGTTAATTTTTTTGAATAGAAAACGTTGTTAACTTTTAAAAAAATGAACATGATTTTGACCTCGAATAGTCGGGGTTTTTACAAATAAAATACAATGGTTTATTCGAAATAATTATCAAAATTAAAGGCTTTATTTTAAAGGGAAATCTTAAAAAAAATCCTAATGTTTTATCTTAATTTATGAAAATCTCAAATTAAAATTTCTTTACGAAAAAACATGAATTACCGATAAAAATAACAATTTGATTAATTTTTTCCGGTTTACCGGTTTCATTACTTATCCGGTTTATTAAAATCTCATTATTTTACCGTAATTCACAAGAATATATTACTGAAACCATCCTTGTAGTTTGGTCAAATTTGCTTTTTTGGTCCCTAACTTTTGTTTTGCACGTGGACGGTCTATGGTTTTTCATTTTGTTGCGTTTTTCGTCCCTTGCAGACATGAAAAGACTATATTAGCCTTGGTCATTTCTTTTTTGATTTATTTTTTATTTTTTAAACATTAACCTATTAAATAATATTATTAGAAATAAAAAATGTGGGTCCCTCACCCCATTATCTCGTCCCCCGTCATCACTCATCACCCTTATTTCTCTCACAATACTCTCTTATTGTCATCCTCTCATTTTCTCACCGAAAGCCATAATCACCGACGAAGGCTCATCGAGAAACCACCTGGAAACGTCATCGGAAAACACCAGGAAACCACCAGACACCATCAATCTGCATCATCAATCCCTTCTCTTCTTCATGTCGCCCCCATCTACTCCATCCTCGCTCCTCCCTCTTCGCCATCTACCAAAATAGATTTTTAAAATCGTCTATGTGATAGTGGTGCAGGTGGCCATCGCCGCCATCGGTTCTATAAAGCGTTTAGGAGTGGCGAGTTTGGTTCTCACTACTTTGTCGTAGCTGGAGCACCGTGTCCGTAATAATCCTTCGACCACCACCATCTCCTTCACGCTCCCTTTAACCCCCATTCTGTTGGAAATCGTATTTGGTTTCTGGGATTTCATCAGTTTTTTTTAATTTCATCATCAATTTCAGGTTAGATTTTATGTTTTGGGTTTTGATTTCCATATTTGGTTTTGATTTCAGTTTAGGTTCTGATTTTGGGATATTAGGATTTAACTTTGGTTAGGTTTTTGATTTTAGAATTTGATATTGTTATGGTTTTGATTTTTGTGTTCAAGTTTGATTTTTGGGATTTGATCTTGGGGTATGACCTGGTGAAATCGATTATGTGGTTTGTAGTGGAGTCGGAATCGGTGGGTGGTGGTTGTCGGTGGTCGATGGTAGTTGTTGGTGGCCAGTGGTGGTTTTCAGTGGCCTGTGGTGGTTGTCGGGGGAATGTGGTGTTTATGGTGCAAATGGGGATACGAGTGGGTCTCACATGTATATAAACAATTAATTGTTTTTCTTTAATTAATAAATAATAAAGAAAATAATAAAAATGAAAAAGAATACAAATGTCAATATAGTCTTTTCATCTCGGGGAGGGACGAAACACGCAACAAAATCATACTATAAGGACGGTCTGAGTGCAAAACAAAAGTTAGAGACCAAACACGTAAATTTGACCAACCACAAGGACGATTTCAATAATTTGTTCATTTACGAATAAGTCCCAAACTAGAATCAAATTATGATTTGGACATTTTCTTCATGTAACATACATTTTACCGGTTTTATGACTTAAATGTCTCGTCATTAAATGAGCTGATAAAATGGATACGATGGGTTATGTGACACCAGTCAAATTTTGGTCAAAAATAAATTGATCAATAATCGTAATTGGGATGAACCAAGTGGTAGAGTTTGTAACAAGGTTTCCAAAAACATAAAGAACACTGAGATCCGAGTTATAACGAAGAAGTTATGACCAATCGAAAATCCGCGGTAAAACCGGCAAAACACTGTTCAGTGTAAAAAGTGAATTTTCTATAAAAGGATTTGTAGCCTTAACAATCTAAATGAAAGTTGTAGAATATGTTAAACCGAGAACATTCATAAAAAGAACGTAAAAATCCGACTTCGTATGAGGAAGTTATGATTTTTCGAAGTTTCGGTTTAGCAGTAGACAGCTAAAAATTTGAAATATAAATCGATCGAGATTTAGCCGACGCAACTTAAACGAGAATCAAAGGTCTCGTCAAAAGTAGCACAACGGTAAAAAGACAGACTAAAACGGACGTCGGATGAAGAAGTTATGAATTTTTAACGGATTCCCGTCCCGGTCTGTTTAAAATAATAATATTAAAAATAAAGTCAAAATCAGCCAACGAAGTCTAAACGAAAGTCGTAGAGCATGATTTTACCTACGTGTGCATATAAAGAACGTCAAAAACGGAGCTCGTATGCGAAAGTTATGATTTTTGCAAGTTTTTGGCACAAAAATCAAGAAAATATTGAAAACCGGGAAATTTCGCTGAGTCACACTTCGGACACGTCACCTCACATGCGAGGCTTCCATGTGTCACCCGCTGATAGGTTCGAACCTTCGCGTGGCAGTTGCTGATTCGACCAAGTCCGCGGTCCAATCCCTCTCGGCCACCTTTGCAGGAGACACCTCGCGCACCACCCTCGGACACCCCCCTTCGCATCGTGGCACCCTCCCATTGGACCGAAGGCTGGTCCTATCCGAAGCGGCCAGCAGCGAACCGCCTCACCAAGCCCTCGCCACCTGTCCGAACCGAGACACGCGTCTGCTTCCTTCGCTGCCACGTTGCTGATGACTAAGCAGCTTCGGACCGAGGCTTCGGCCCTATATAAAGGGTGCGAGACCCTCCGGTTCTTAACCCTTTTTTTCACCATTTTTGCTCCCTTTTCACCCTTTTCACTTCCATAACTTCACAAACAACCCCCAAGGCCCCGGTATCGTGTCTAAAGCCCGAAGCAAGCCCCGGAGCCCCGGAATTATCGAGAATTCATCCTCTCTCCTGTCGAAACTCTGCCCGGTTTGAGCCGGTTTCTCGTTAAATAAGCTCTTTACGGGAAACGAAACGTTGTCCGGATCACCGCTTATCAAAGTGAGTTCATACCCTCTAATATACCTTTTTAAATGGTTTTATATGCTTTTTAGGGGGGAATACAAGTTTAACACAATATTAAATTGTGTTAATAACTGTATGTGATAATAATCACACAGAAAATTTCCGTATGCTTTTAAGAATTATCAAATACTTCCAAAATAACTTAACGCCATATTAAATTTTAAAAGTCATGTAAACTCCGTTAAATTCTTTGAAAAATGTTTTATAAACTATTTCAAATTATATATGCCAAAATCATGTGTATATATGTATAAATATATAAATAAGATTTGAAGGGCTTAGGAGTAATGAATTATCCTATATCCTTTTCCTTGTTTGGATGTGGAATTAGGGTTGTATTGTTTGTCCGAAGGTCGTTTCCTTCTTAATTATATATATATTATATATATATTATAC